TTCCCTAGAACCAGCATCCCCTCCTACCTCTCATGTTTCTGAAACCTCAGTGATATCTCTACCTCCTGTCCCTTATTTGCTCCCCGCATTTAATTATTCTGAAGCTATTAGAAGGATGCCTCTCACACTGGTCTCCTCTCTTCCATCCCTGCTGCCCCAATCCGGGAACTTCTCACCTGACCCTCTGCAAAGGTTTTCTAGCAGATGTCCTCACCTCACGCTTTATTCCTTCTAGAGCAAAAACTGTCACGGCTTCACACTCTCCCTAGTGCCCCTTGTGGATGCCCCTCACCCGTGCACCAAGTCCGTACTCTAGCACAAGATCAAGGGCTCTCTTTGGTCTCAATAACATCTTTCCTACCTGGATAGAGCGGAAGAGCTTTGGTGCCAGAGAAACCTAGGGACAAATCCTGGGGCTGCCCGTTGCTGGCTGTAAAATGGCAATGCTCTCCACCTGGAAGGGCAGCTGTGAGGATGGAAGTGGGATTGGGGCTGGCCTTATGGCTGACCTGCATCAGGTGGTCCACAGAGGGAAGGAGGCACCCTGCCCGCCTGCCTGCCCTTCTTCACACCCCATCTGGGCGTACTGGTTCTGACCGAATGTTCCTCCAGCTTCCAGTCTCCACCTTAGCTAGTGCTTTTGCTTCTCTCTAGAAGGTGTTTACCTTCCCTCCTTTCCAAAGAAGCTCTACCAGCCATCAAAGCCCAGGTAGACCCCTTCACAGGCAGCATTTCTGTGTCCTGCCATCTGGATGTCATCTTCCTCTACCTTTAACTCCCAAATCTTTGTTTTTTTTGTTTTTTGTTTTTTTAAAAATTTTTTGCGGTACGCGGGCCTCTCATGTTGTGGCCTCTCCCGTTGCGGAGCACAGGCTCAGGACGCGCAGGCTCAGCGGCCACGGCTCACGGGCCCAGCTGCCCCGCGGCATGTGGGATCTTCCCAGACCGGGGCACGAACCCTTGTCCCCGGCATCGGCAGGTGGACTCTCAACCACTGTGCCACCAGGGAAGCCCCATAACTCCCAAATCTTTGTGTGCACTTTTCTTAAAGATGCTTTCCACATCTGCCTTGTATTACCATTATGCATGTGCTTGACTGTAACCTCCAGTTAGTTTTAATTTCTTGAGGATGATCTTTTGCATCTTCCCCCTGTTCAACCACGGACATCTACTGAGTGTCTCTTGTGTACCAGGTCCTGGGCAAAGTGTTTGGTGAAAAATGGGATCCTCTCATTACAGAGTTTATAATCATTGACTCTCCACAGCTCCATGCAAATATATTTGTAATATGGGTTCAATGAATGTAAAATGAATCCATATACTTCGCAGAAACAGTATAAGTAACTTACACAAAAGCTTTGTGCGAGTAATCCTCAATTCTATTTTCAGGCTCTGAACAATGAAGCAGCTTCCCTATGGAATAATTCTAAGTTAGAAGTTGAGAAGCCTTCACTTCCATTTCCCTTCTTTAATCTCAGGGAGCAGTGGTTTTCTGCTGTCTCCTTTTTTCCTCCTCTTTTCAATGTACTTGAGAAGTGCACAGTTCTCCAGTAGTGCTGAGAAAAGTACAGCATCACATTTGAAGTCTGTCCTAAATACATAATAGTTTGGTTGAGAATTGGATTTACTTTGAGATTTTCCCTGCCTTTTCCTTGTTGGACCTGGAAGGGTCCCCTAAGGTGATCTGGCACGGGCTGGGGCGGTGCATTTTGGCGGGAAACTGTTAATACACCCTAGGGCCATCTGAACGCCGACACATGCTTATTAGAGATGATTTCACTGCATTTAAAGACATCTGCACTCAACATGGGGAAGAGGAACCACGGAAATCGCATTTGCCTTTGGAGCCTGCCCCATCGGAGCGTCGGCGATAATCAGGGTGATAATAGATGCTCTGATTACAAAGGCGGGAAGTCTTCAGTGCCAAGAATGATTTTAGAGTGATCAGAGCGGAGGTCAAATCTAATTTCCTGTGTTTGACAGGAAGGAAAACCACCAGACCGACTCACAACATCATCCATGGGAGCCTAAGGTCCTTTGAGCAAAAGGCCAGGGAAATACTTTCCCCATGAGCCACAGCCATGGAGCTGAGCAAGGTGGTCTGGCTTGTCTTTATGGGGAGGCTCTCCAGGTGATGAATGTGGAGGGGAAGTGGCTCCGCTCCTGGCACCTGGTACTAGCTGTGGGCATTTTCACTTTTGCTCTCTGAGGTGCCTCACAGTCACACAAGACAGCAGCGGGAAGCTGTCACACCTCGGGACCTGCTCAGTTTCCAAAGCACATGAATTAGCTCTAGGAGGAAGAGAGGGAACTTTCCAGCAGGTTTGAAGAGCCTTTGCAATGGCCTGTGCTCACACAAAGATAATAAGCACACTAGCCCCTCCAGCTGCTGCGAAGATGTCAGGAAGACAGATGGGTCTGGCCTGACACAGCCAGGCCAGGCAGATGTGACTGGACAGCAGTCAGACATGATAGAGGTGAAAATATCTTGCTCCTAAAGGAACAGAGCACGCAAAGCGCTTGCCAACCGCCTTTATGGGAGGTGGCATTCTCCAGCGCCGAGAACTTCATACGTGGTTGGGTCTGTTCCCTGGGCGATGCGGGAGACGTGTGTATAGTAAAACCCAGCTGTGAATGGATGTAGAATGAAGGATGGTGGTGGCTGTTTCTAACGCTGAACTCACATCCACCAGGAATAGACTGACTGTGAATCTGACTAAAGCAACCCCGGATATCTTCACAGCCCCGGTACTCGTGCTGCTGCCTGTGAGTCGCTCTCTGTCTCACACAGACCCACAAGCACATGCATAATTTCCTTTTGTTCATTCATAATTCAGAGGAAACTTTTTAGCTAACAATAGAGTCATGTGGAAGAATGGAAGGAACAACGAGCTGGGAGTCAGAAGCCCCTACCACCCACCCTCTGTGCAAGCGTCTCTGTGCTTCTTTGGTGTGAAATAAGGAGTTGGGAAAGATCTCCAAGGTCCCTTCACACCACAGGCTGTCCCGGGCAACATGAGGGAGCTCCTCTCTCATACATCTGAAGCCTCATCAGTGCGTCTGTGTGCAAAGCACAGTGAATGCAGAGCCAATGGCCAGGTTTTGAGCCCCTTCCTGGACCTGATCATTCTATTCTCTATGAGCCTCCGTTTCTTCGTCTTGTTTCTCAAAAGTATTGTAGGAGTCAAGTGACTATATGGCTTTGGGCTGGAGCCTGACAAGAAGCAGCTTGGAAGGAAGCCCATCAGTCTCCAAAAGGGGCCCCTCAGAATCATTTAACATTTGTTAACGTTTGCCTCTCTGGAATTGGACGCTGTCAGCGAGCAGGGCCCACATCTGTCTTGCTCACAGCTCCATCCTTGGACCTCAAAAGAGGCCCTGGCATATTGTGCTCCATAAGTATCTTCTGGCCAGGACTGACCAACATCTCTTTGAGTCTTAGTTGCCTCACCTGTCAAACACCTACCATGTTGTGAGGATTAAATAGGATAATGTGAAGCATTAAACGGTAAGAATTAATCAAAAGATAGTTGCTATTCTTATTATTATGTATCATTCCATAATGGCCAATAGATTTGTCTTCCTAAATTCTGTGGTCATCAGCTCACTTCCCTGTTCAGCCATGTCTGGTTTCCACGGAGTAAAGAAAGCCCAGTCTGCTTGACTTGAACCCCAAATTTCCCAGCATGATTTCCCTTGGCGTCCCTGCGCAAACCCTTCTCTTTGCTTGGAATGAATAAGCCGTGTGGCACCTTCACTCATTCCCCACCCCCCACATCGAGTGCTGTCCCCATTCTTCTTTCTCTTGCTGAATTGTTCTCTATCCATCACCCAAGACCATACCCTGTGGAATCAAACTCCAACCCATGGAAAGCATATGAGTGGTAATGACAATGTCAGAGTCACTTCAATTCTGAAGCTTGGACATACTTGTGGTTGGGAATTCTACAGCATCTCCTGTTAATGCAAATGTCAGGAAGCTTTTGTTATCTAAAACCTCTTTATAGTTCTTAGTGATTATATCTTGGATGAGAGACAGAGGAGAGGTCTCAGATTTTCACCTGAGTATCAGCAAAAAACAGGGAAACGTGTCCTTTGAATACATCCCTTCAGAGTCCACTGACAGAGGCGATGGGCATGATGTATCAAGACAGCAGGAGGAATTACAAACAGTGCTGCAAAAAATTTCCTTGCACATATCTCTGAGGAAGTTTTTATAGGTTATGTTCCTAGAAGTATTATTGGGTCATAGGACATGGAACATATTTAATGGAATATATACAGTCATTTGGGTAGCATTAGCACCATAATGATATTGGGTCAATCGATGGGTATAATTTAACTATTGATTTATTCATTTTTATGTCCTTTAATAATATTTTATAATTTTTTAAATAAAAGAGTTGCACATTAAAAAAAAAAAAAAAAAGACAACAGGACGCCAGGGTAGGTATTCACATGAGAGAGAGGACTGAGAAGTTTGTCATGTCATCGATACCTACTGTCCTGTGCAGCCTCATGCCACTTTCTGGCTTCTGCGGTTTTAAACGATTTTGATTAGCACCATGGGGGAGAATCCATTTCTAGGTCCCTTCCAGGTTTATGACTTAGGTCAAACCCCCTTAAAGAGATATGGTTTCTTAATACCAACTGCTTTCACTTGGGATGCAATTTCAGAGCAATACTGAGCACTTCTTTGGGTGGAGGGAAAACTTAACAGCCCTCCGGAGGGCCTGCAGCCGGCACCTGGACTGGCAGCTAGGTGACAAATGGGTAAGGAGGCCAGGGGTTTTCTCTCCTACTTTAATATACTGCCACTCAATTCAGCATGGTTTATCTCCATGGTTTCCAAATGCGTTTAGCTGTGCAAACTTTGTTCAAACTACACAAATGTAGAACCCCACTCTTCAAATGTGAAGAGGCCCTGGTTAAAGAGGGCAGTGTTGGAGTACCATCTGCTCCCATCCCCTCTCTCCTATGCCCTAGAACCTCTGAGGGACCCCTTGAAGCCCATTTTGCATGGTTTGAAAATCCCTGGGATAATTTTGAAAGCCACCTTTGGAGTCAGTTGAAGTCAAATCCTGACTCAACACTTGACTGACCTTCTCTTGATCTTCAATTGCTGTATATGTAAATTGAATATAATAATACCTACAATAATAATATATACTTGCTGTAATAATAAATTATAAGATATAACTTATAATAAGTCAGAAATATTGTGTGGAAAGTGTCTGGTCCACAGTAGGTGCTCAATAAATAGCTATTTAGGATATGCCTCAAACAGGCCCCTTTCCTGGGGCTGCGAAGGATTCAAATGTGAGTGAGAGACCTCATGAAGCTGAGAGTCTGGCTCCGACTATGGGACAAGAGAGAGGAAGTACTAGAGATGAGGAGACAAAGTGCCACAGGAGGAAACAGGAGGGAAGGAACATTTCTAATCAGCAGTGATTGAAACTGCCAGTTGCCGACCCAATCTTTTTTCCACTTCTGCTTACATCTTCCTGGCCACGGTCAGTGGCTTGCTTGGAGTGGAAGGCAGCAGGCACTGGTGGGCTCCATTTCTCTGGTCTCACCCAAGATCCTGAGAGGCAGAAGTCTTGAGCTAGTGGGGCTCTCCTGGGGTGCATCTAGGGCTCTGGCAGAGGGGGCTCTCTCAGAGCTTGCTCTGAGCAAGGGTCTGGGCTTCCCTTTGGCTAGATTACTCAGACAGTAGATGAGGACCTAATTCCAGGAGAACAAAGGGCTGAAGCAGAGATGAAAAGGAAGGACAGGGGGGCTGTTGGAGTTGGGATGGGAGTTCATCCCAGGACTCTGTTGGGAGGAGGCAGAAAGAGAAAGGGGGAGGGAGCTTAATACCTGAGACCCCTTTGAAGGGTCCTGGATTCCCCTCATCTGGGCCACCAGATGGGCTGGGATGGGGCAGACAACTCTTCAGTGACAGATGGAGTGGTAGAAGTTCTCTCCATTCAAGTCGTGCCTTCCACTTACTACTTGAAATCCTACACTTAAGACATAGGGTCTAAGATTTCACCAACTTAAATAGAAGAGTAAATATCTCCTTTTTTTCTTTTTTTTTTTTTTTTTGCGGTACGTGGGCCTCTCACCGTTGTGGCCTCTCCCGTTGCAGAGCACAGGCTCCGGACGGGCAGGCTCAGCGGCCATGGCTCACGGGCCCAGCCGCTCTGCAGCATGTGGGATCCTCCCGGACGGGGGCACGAACCCGTGTCCCCAGCATCGACAGGCAGACTCTCAACCACTGCGCCACCAGGGAAGCCCACTATCTCCTTTTTAAAGAATGGCAATACTCTTAGGTTTATGAGTCCATTCAATCAGCCTGGTGTCCTGTGATCACCACCTCGAGCAGCTGGGAATTGCACTGAGGAGAAGAGGCTGAGAGAAGGAGACGTGTGACGGGCAGAGGGACCCCAGGATGAGGGCTTTGACAAGCAGAGGCAATGTGAGGGTACTGGACTCCATGGGGGGAGTGGAGTGGGGTAGAGAAAATGAATGTTTACCGAACACCTACTATATGTCTGATATTACACTAACTCTGGGGATAAACCTAGGAAATAACTGCTGCCCCTCATTTACTTTATGATGCGGGTTTGTGCCAGATTTTGTTCCCTTCTCTTGTTCTTAGAAATCAGATGCAACAACGTCTCTCCCCTTTGGAAAATGGGCTCTGCCCACTCAAACCTGCCTGGCCGACGGCCCTGCGTGACAATGTTGGGGAGCAGGGCCATCCATGTTTGGCAAGAGCCCCCATGGCTGAGGGAACAGTGCCTTGCCCCTCAAAACTGCCTCCCCTCCTCGGCCCACAGAGGCTCGTCTGTGATGGTGAGGCTTTTTGAGGGGAGTGTGCGGAGGATCTGGGATCATACGCAATAGCTCACCACTGTGGCTGTCAGGGCTGTCAGGGCTACCAGTGGACGAGCCAAGGCTCAGAACAGAAATGCCAGAGAAGACAGCCAGCCCGCAGGAGGCACCAGAGGGGCAAGATGAAGACTCCCTGACTCCCGGGCCTCTGGCCTCCTTTCTTTAGAGTTCTCAGGTGTAGAGTTGATGGGCTGTGATCTGTTGGGTGTGTTCACGTGATCTGTCATTGCTGACATTTATTGAGCTCTTACTAACTCTTAGGCCTTGTACTAAATACACATATGAATTTATTTAATCCTCCCAACAAACCTATGAAGTAGGTGCTATTATTATTATTCCAATTTCACAGGTGAGGAAACTGAGGCACAAAGAAGTTCAGACTTGCAAAAGCTCACACAGTCAGAAAATGGCAGATCCAGGATTCCAGCCCAAGCCATCGGGCTCCATAGTCCATATGATTATCCACTATGCTCTATTCATACTCAAATACTGAATTGAAAATGATTTTTTTAAATAACATAAATCAAAATGGACATCAAGCTACCCCTAGAATGACAGTACCTTCCTACACTGCATTCCAATAAGCTAACTTTAATGGGTGAGACAGAAGTAGCATCATAACCAGTATTGTGGGGGGCCTTTCCTAGTGGTCCAGTGGGTAAGACTCTGGGCTCCCAACACAGGGGGCCCCGGTTCGATCCCTGGTTGGGGAACTAGATCCCACATGCATGCCACGACTAAGAGTTCACATGCCACAACTAAGACCCGGTGCAGCCTAAATAAATAAATAAATGGAAAACCAAACCAAAACAAAAAAAACTTACGGGACAAAAAATAAAAATAACCAGCACTGTGGGAATTTTACTTAACTCTGGTCTGCCCATGTGTTTGTACCCTGCAAGAGTCAACCACTGTGCAAGAGAAAAGTCTTTAGCAACTTCTGGTTCTTCTTTTTCCGGGCACAGAGCTAGCCTACACCTCTCAGATTCCTCCAGAGTTAAGTGTGGTAAAATGGCCAGCTCTTGCCAATGAAATGTGAATAGAAGCATCACTTCCAGGCTCTAGGGAAACACGTTCATCTTCCTCGTTTGTTCCTTCCGTTTCTACCGCTAGATGCACGGGGCATGGAGGCCATAGGGGACAGGAGAGCCATGAAATGGACAGATCCTGGGTCCCTGAGTTGGGATACACACACCAACTAGGAACACCCACTTTGGACTCCTGGATAAAAAAGGTTCTATTGTATTTGAGCCACTGTACATTTTGGATTCTACTTTTTCCTACAGCCTAACTTACTCTAATACACCATTTTCTTTGCTTATGGTCAAAGGTTGAAGTGAGCTGCCCTCAAGAACAACAAAAATCCATGAAGGGATTTGTGGAAACTTCTAATTTCCCAGTGTTGCTGTGTTCAAACCGCCACAGTCCCCCGGTCTCCCTACATTTGGTGGTCCCAGGGCAAGGGCAGAGGAGGTTAGGTCATGGGGAAGCCAGTGCACGCATTACATTACCACATCTGTTTCCTTCAAGAGAGGTCCCGTTTCTCTTGGGGCTGGAGCCAGGGGGCCTCAGCCCAGGTGCTGAGGGGCCTCCAGAGGACATGGGGCTGGTATGGGGACCACCGACTGTGGTGGCTGAGCCTCCCCCAAGGTGGCCGTCTCCAGAGTTCTGCCTCTTGCAGCACAATGAAGAGGAGGTGGGCAGGGAGCCCCTGTGGCTAAAGGCGGAGGAGGAGTCCACGCTGTAGCGGCTCATGCTCGCAGGGTTCACCAGGCACTCCTCAGTGGCGACCGTTTTTGCTAAGCAAGAAGGCAGAGCAGAGAAGCAGTGATCAGAGAGCAGTTCAAGAAGACACCTGGCGCCGAGTCTTGGCAAACCTTTCCCCAGCAGCACAGGTGCCGCTATCTGTGGGGATGGCAGATGAGAAGGAATGGATACCGCGGCATAATCCCAAATAGCTCACCTCTCAGCAGATTGACACCTCACCAACGAAGCATATTTTAGTAGGGATTGGGACATGTGACCCTCCATGTTCTGAGGAAAATTTGATTACCTTGGTCATTGATGACTTGTAAATAAAATTCAAACAAAGGTCTTTCTCCCTCCATGGCTCTGCTCCTCCAGGAGTTTCCGCCAGCTTGTCAGAATCTCCCTGCTCCCTCTTTTCTTGCCCATCACCACTGCCTCCCGCACCTGGCCCATGATTCCTGGGGGAGATCAAGCCAGAGTCACAGTGTCCCAGAGTTAGGAGTAACAACTTTGGCCTGGGTTCTTTTTTTTTTTAACATCTTTATTGGAGTATAATTGCTTTACAATGGTGTGTTACTGTCTGCTTTATAACAAAGTGAATCAGCTATATGTATACATATATCCCCATATCCCCTCCATCTTGTGTCTCCCTCCCACCCTCCCTATCCCACCCCTCTAGGTGGTCACAAAGCACTGAGCTGATGTCCCTGTGTGATGCAGCTGCTTCCCACTAGCTGTCTATTTTACATTTGGTTGTGTGTACATGTCAATGCTACTCTCTCACTTCGTCCCAGCTCACCCTTCCCCCTCCCCTTGTCCTCATGTCCATTATCTACATCTGCGTCTTTATTCCTGTCCTGCCCCTAGGTTCATCAGAACCTTTTTTTTTTTTTTTTAGATTCCACTTATATGTGTTAGCATCCAGTATTTGTTTTTCTCTGACTTACTTCACTCTGTATGACAGACTCTAGGTCCATCCACCTCACTACAAATAACTCAATTTCATTTCTTTTTATGGCTGAGTAATAGTCCACTGTATATATGTGCCACATCTTCTTTCCATTCATCTGTCGATGGACACTTAGGTTGCTTCAATGTCCTGGGTATTGTAAATAGTGCTGCAATGAACATTGTGGTACATGACTCTTTTTGAATTATGGTTTTCTCAGGGTATATGCCCAGTAGTGGGATTGCTGGGTCATATGGTAGTTCTATGTTTAGTTTTTTAAGGAACCTCCATATTGTTCTCCATAGTGGCTCTATCAATTTACATTCCCACCGACAGGGCAAGAGGGTTCCCTTTTCTCCACACTCTCGCCAGAATTTATTGTTTGTAGATTTTTTGATGATTGGCCTGGGCTCTGACACAGGTGTGATGGTGCTTCCTCCCCACACTTTTAGTTCCAGTACACACAAGGGCACTAACCTTCCACCAAAGCTAACAAACTAGGGACACAAATGCTGATCTGGATGGCCCCATGGTCTTCCCCAAACCCTGCAGATGAGAGAGAAAGAACCAATCTAAAGTGCAAGGGGAGTAGAGGACCTGGAGACTCTGCCAACCTCATCATCAGCTCCCCCACCCAAGTAGATCAGGACTTTCTACACTTTTAAAGCTCATTCTTGCAGCCTGTTGAACTCTGCGAGCTATACCTGTGGCCAAATGGTGTGGGGTGTTTTGCTTTGTTTTGTTTTGAAGAACAAAGTCCAGAGGAATTATAGGGATAGAAAGAGGAAGAAAAATATTCTAGTAATTCCTTTTCTTCAGTCCCTCCCACCCCAGACAAGATCATATCTGTCCAGCCCCATCAACAATCATCTATATACTACACATGATCAAAACAGATATAGACATTCCCCAAAGGCATTAGAATAACAAAAACCAAGGGAATCCTCCAATGTTGGCAATGAGTAAACACATTTGGGCCACAAGATCCAGATGTCTTTTTCATGTATGGATTCCTGGCACAACACAGATATTGAAAGATTAAGAATAGATTTTATTAGGGGAGCTAGCAGGTCTTCTCATAGATGGGGATGCATATGCAGCTTGCCTGGAAATAAAAACCATTGCATATGGAATGCAGCTAAAGCAGTGCCTAGAGAAAATTTGTAACTGTAAATACTTATATTTAAAAAGAAGAACATTCTCAAATTAATAACCTAATCTTCCTCATTAAGATACTGGGGGGGAAAGGGCAAACTAAACTTAAAGCAAGCAGGAGGAAGAAAATAATAAAGATTAGAGTGAAAATTAATTAAACAGAGAATAGAAAAATAGAGAAAATCAAAGAAACCCAAAGCTGGCTCTTTGAAAAGATCAACAAAATTGGCGAACTTTTAGCTAGACTGGCCGAGAAAAAAAGAGAGAAGACTCAGATTGCTAGAATCAGAAATGACAGAGATGACATTATCACCAATCTCACAGAAATAAAATGGGTTATTAAGAAATATTACAAACAATTCTATGCCAATCAGTTAGGTAACTTAGAAGAAATAGACAAACTATCAAAACTGACAAGAAGAAATAGACAATCTGAATATAAAACAATTAAAGAGATTAAATTAGTCATCAAAAAACAAAGAAATCCCAGGCTCGGATGGCTTCATAGGTGAATTCTACCAAGTATTTAAAGAAAAATTAAAACCAATTCTTCACAAATTCTTCCAAAAAGTAAAAAAAAAGAGTGCTGTGGACTGAATTGTGTCCCCCTCAAATGTTCATATGTTGAAGCCCTAGCCCCCATTGCAACTATATTTGGAGAGAGGGTCCATAAGGAGGAAACAGAGGTTAAGTAAGGTCTTAAGGTTAAGACCTCAACCTGATAGGACTGGTTAAAAAGAAAGTGCTGACAAGAAGAGGAAGAGACATGAGAGAGCTCTCTCCCTCTTCACACACGTGCACAGAGATGAGGCAACGTGAAGACACAGAAAGTGGCTGTCCACTAGCCAGGAAGAGAAGTATCATCAGAAACTAACCCTGATGACACCTTGATCTCAGACTTTTAGCCTCTAGAATTGTGAGAAAATAAATTCTGTTGTTAAAGCTGCCTAGTATGTGGTATTCTGTTATGGCAGCCAGGCAGACTAATATAAGGAGGGAATACTTCCCAACTCATTCTATGAGAACACTAATACCCTGATACCAAAACTAGACAAAGTCATCACAAGAGAACTACAGATCAATGTCTCATTAATATGGATGCAAAAATTCTCAACAATATACTAGCAAAACAAATCCTTAACATACAAAATGCCTTATACATCATGATCAAGTAGGATTTGTTTCAGGGGTTGGTTTAACATCTGAAAATCAATTAATGTAACATGTGATATCGATAGAATAAAAAACAAAGATCATGTGATTATCTCAATAGATGCAGAAAAAGCGTTCGAAAAAATCCAACATTGTTTCATGAGAAAAACACTCAACACACTAGGAATAGAAGGGAACTTCCTCAAGCTGAAAAAGGGCATCCATAAAAAAACCTACACTTAACATCACAGTTAACGGCGAAAGACTGGATGCTTTTCTTCCTAAGATCAGGAACAACACAAAGATGTCTCTGTTCTTGCTACTTCTATTCAACATTGTATTGGAGGTTCCAGCCAGGGCAAGTAGGTAAGCATCTAATTTGGGAAGGAAGAAGTAAAACTATCTCTTGTATGTAAAAAATTCTAAGGAATCCAATAAAACACTTTTATTAATTGAAATTAATAAATGAATTCAGTAAAGTTACAGGATACAAAATTAATATGCAAATATCAATTGTACTTTTATACATTTGCATTAAACAATATGAAAATGAAATTGGGGAAAGAATTCAATTTATAATAGTATTAAAAAGAATAAAATACTGAGGAATAAATTTAACAAAAGAAGTATAAAACTTATGCTCTAAAAACTACAAAACATTATGGAAAGAAATTAAAGAAGATCTAAATACTTAATCGGAAAAAATTCCATGCTTATGAATCAGAGGACTTAATATTATTAAGATTATTACCATCTTACACCCTAAATTCATCCATGGATTGAATGCAATTCTTGTCAGAATCTCAGCTGACTTCTTTGTAGAAATTGACAAGCTGATTCTAAAACTCATATGGATTTTCAAGGAACCATAAATAGCCAAAACAATCATGGAAAAAGAAGAACAAAGTAGAGTAGTCACACTTCCCAATTTTAAAATTTACTACAAAGCAATGGTGACAGAGACAGTGTGGTACTGACTTAAGGAGAGACATATAGAACAATGGAATAGAGTTGAGAGTCCAGAAATAAACCTATGAGTCATGTTCAACTGATTTTCAACGAAGGTGCCAAGATCATTCAATAGGAAAAGAACAGTCTTTTCAACAACTGATGCTTGGACAATTGGATATCCGCATGCAAAACAATGAAGTTGGACCCTTACTTCATACCATACACGAAAATTAACTTGTCATGGATCAAAGACCTAAATGTAAGAGCAAAAACTTATAAAACTCCTAGAAGGAAATATAGGGGTAAATCTTTATGACCTTGGGTTTGACAAGGTATTGTTAGATTTGACACCAAAGGCATGAGCAACAAAAGAAAAAATAGACATATTGAATTTATCAAAATTTAAAACTTTTGCATTTTGAAAGACACTGTCAAGAAAGTGAAAAGAAAATCCACAGAATGGGAGAAATTACTTGCAAATCATACCTCTGATAAAGAATTCATATCCAGAGTATATTAAAAAAACTCTTACAACTCAACAATCAAAAGACAAACAACCCAATTTTAAAATGGGCTTGAATGGACATTTTCCCAAAGAAGATAGACAGATGGCCAATAAGCACACGAAAACTTGTTCTAAATCATTAGTCATTGGGGAATGCCAATCAAAACCACAATGAGGTACCACTTCACACTCACTAGGATGGTTATAATCAAAAAGTCAGATGATAGCAAGTGTTGGTGATACTGTAGAGAAATTGGAACCCTCACACACTGCTGGTGGGAATGTAAAATGATACAGCCTCTTTGGAAAACAGTCTGGCTCTTTCTCAAATGGTTAAA